CTTCCAAAGAAGCTATTAAATATGGGAAGTAGGTACTTCATGAGACCTCGCTATATAGGCAGGATTTCTTTACTGAATAGGAACAATCTCTTTCCTACCAGAGTGTTTTTTCTCCCTTCATACTGGTCTTGTAACTTCCTGAGTAAATCTGAGTGTTTTTGCACTGCCTGTTCATAGACTTAAAATCTTTCTCGAAGGCCTGGATTAAATGTTACTTGATATTGCTATAATAGCTACTCAGTGAAACCTCTAATTTGAACACAGCTTTATTTTTATATAAGTTTTGGAATTCTAATAGTGTCTCTCAAAATTTCAATTTAGAGAATTCTGTATGCCAAATCTAAGCCAAATGACAACATGACTTCCTTAGTTTACCAAACCAAATCCTCCTATTGGTCTGAAGACTAAAAGTGGAAAATGGCTGTGTAATATATATGTAGTAAGTGTACCAGTGTAAGCTGCTCTGTAGTGACAGTTTTGCTCCGGGTATCATGGTCATGCTGCTTAACTGGGGCTTATTTTCATGTTCTTCTGGTTCCAGTTGTGATGGCTGAAGATGTTACTATCCCCAGCTGCTTCCCCATCTCCCTTGATGGGAAGGTTTTTTTTTTCCTTCAGATCTTTCAGCTCAGCTCTTGGGAATCCAACCTAGTTTCAGAGATGGGTGAGAGAGAATCCAGTATTAAATGCTGGAATAGGTGTGTGTTGGGTTTTGGTTTGGGGTTGGTTGGTTTGTTTGTTTTTAAAGAAGCAATCCCTCCTCCCAAACTCCCTCTTCTCTAACATCCACAGGCTTGTACACAGATGGCCTTAGAAGCTGCAAGCATTCAGTAGCACTGAAAATAGAGATCAGCATCGGGAGATGTGTTGTAAACTGCAGAAGAATGGGATGAAAAGCTTTGTTATAATTTTTGCTACTTAAATAACTCTTTTCATTTGCATTGGGATACACAGGAGAATCCTGACATATGGTTCTTGAGACCCCTTCCAGCTTCTCTGCTTAAAGCACTTGCTCTGAGGGCTATGTACCTTCTGCTGCTCCACTCATCTCTGATGGATAATTTGATGTCTGACCTAACGGCTGTAGTACATGATTATTTAAATGCTTATAGGACTGGGTCTGGAGATCACCTTGGGAGCACAAAGGTAGGTGCTTGTTTGTGTCTTTGCTTGTTTCTCTGGTTAGTGATTTGATCTAAGTCTCTGATGGATAAACTCTGGAGGACCTAGCTACAGCAGCTTCCTTTTCTGCAACTGTACACCCTACTTTATGCCACATACTTTGTTTCCTTTGTGCAGCAGCAGAAGTGATGGTGTCTATCTACCTAGCTGCATTTCATGTTAGTCCGTGAGCATAAATCCACCTCAAGTTAGTATTGTGGATGGTGAGCTGCAGCTGTTAAGGCGTGGGCACAGGCACATGTGCCTTCTGTTCACTAATCTGAGACTGAGAACCTCTGGGCTCAATAGGGGCTGTGTATGTGCGAGGGCATGGAGAGGGACAGGCGGTTGTGAAGTGTTGGTACCTGGAGCTGCCAGAGTGGCTTTGTTTTAGTAAGAGCATTTAGTCCCCAAATCTTGTTCTATTTTTTGCCTATTCTGTCATCTTTACTGCTGAGCTGTTTTGCATATACTGGCTGTTTCTGAGAAGTGTTGTCTCTTGTTGGCCAAAGATTTTTATTTCTGTAAAAGCATCTCTGAGTTATCTTGTCTTCCTAATTTATTCTCACCTGTGTTACCTAAAAAAGAAAATAAGTCAGGTAACACTTTTCATCTTTGGTTACATAGAACCAGTAGTATTGCATGCCCAGATACCTTGGAGTCGCTCTCGTATGGTGGACACTTCTGTAATTGCTTGTTAATTTTTAAAGCGGGGGAAACAAGATTTTTGGTTCAGGAGCTTAACTTCCTGCACTAATGGAAAGAACAGGTCCATGCAAACCAAACAAGCAGTGGTATTGGTGTGGTCTTTTTCTGTCTTCTCAAAGAAGTAATCTTAGGAGGGCTTGCAATAACTGTGTAAGATATTGCTGGTATTAAATTTGGGTGAAAAGTGAATGGTCAGACATACTCATTCATCACAAAGAGACCGAATTAACATGATTAAATCCTGTTACCGCCTCATTTTTGCAGTTGTCAATGTCTTGAAATATTTATTAGGAAAAGAGAATGCAGGTCTGTCTTCATGGAAGAAATTGTCTTTTTCCTTGCCCTGGTTTAACAAAGCACTCAAGCAGGGACTTGAATCCTTTGGCAATTGCTTAAGGGCTCAGAGCAGTAAATCCCATTATTGAGGATTTAGGAGGAGATTAGTTTAGATAACCACAAGAGGTCATAGTTGCTCCACAGATGGAAGAGAAGAGGTCATATCTGAAAACCTTTTCTTTTTAGAGGAGAGCTGCCGAAAAAAGAGGGCTGTTCATAGTTCATGGAAAAAAGAGCTTGGAATCTGAATTACCAATGTGAAATGCATGCAACAGTAGGCATGACACAAGGGAAAAGAACAGTCTGTTAAAGTGAAGAGAGTACAAATTCTGTTTTGCATTGGGCTATTTGTTTGTAGAATTTTTTTTTAAAGTGGTACTTAGGTTGCTGAAGCCAATCCTTTTGTAAATCCATTTATTCCATAAGATTAGCCAAGGAATTAATCTGATCCTAAGCATTTCAGATGGCATTTTGAAGATCTATTTAATATCACATCTGATAATCATACTTCTTGCAGTTGCTTTAGAAATCTTGTAGTATGGATAGTAAAAGTAGCCATTTTCACCATCATTTCACTGTTAATAATTTTCTGTTGTTTCTGTATCTTGCGAGAAGGTCACACAAATGAAAGTTTCTTCTACTTTATTTAAAATCTGCTTGCAATACATATTTGAACTCCAAATACGGAGTTTGGTTTAGTTAAATCTGGTCTGTTACTTCGGTTTCTTCACTGAGTAAGTAAACGAAGTTAACTTCAAGGGAATCCTTTGCAAGTTGATGAGTTCAGCTAAATCTGTTTTAAGGAAGAAAAAAAAGGCAAAAAAAAAAAAGTTTGTTTGTGTAACTTCTAGGTTTTCTGGCTAAGTCTGTATTAATTCCCCAAATCAAAAAGCCTTTATTCAGATCTGATTCTCAGAATGAAGTAATAGTCAAGATACTTACTCCCCCCCATATTTATTCCAGTGCTTTTTCAAGGATATTTAGAAGTAAAGTTTATCCATCACTAAGTTCTGTGTTATGCCTTCTGTGCACTTCGTGGAGCTACAGTTGAAAGTTACCTGGAAAATGCTTTTACTGGACTATTTTACTTTTTACACTGACCAGTTACAACTTACACTTGTGCTCCACCGTGGACCCTTGGTGAACAGCAGTCTGGTACAATGAGCTTGACTTCATCTTGGAGCCAGTCTCCAGCAACAGCAACGCTGGAGTCCCTATGCTTGATGACTGTTCTCCAGACATGATCTGGTGCAGTCCCAACACTATGTCAGCAGAAATAATGGATGGTCCTTGGATTCTGAGGTAAATACCCATGCCAGAGAAACATTTTGGAAACCTGAAATGTGTTATCTACTATGCTCTCTCCATGCTGGAGAACTGGAAGAGAGGCCTCTGTTGCTGAAGCAGGACTACAGCAAAGCCAAAGACGATAAATGCTCCAGAGCCATAAAGATACCTTGCACTACTTCAGCTTCTAAATTGGAAGGTGGACATAATTTCTGAGTGAACAGGAACCATCTGTGGTACATCAAGCTTTTACTTGAAAGCTGTGGGAGTGAAAGCTACTAGGCAAGAGAGTCTCCAGGTTACCATGGCCTCTTTGATTTGCAGGCATTTGGAGAAGATGAGCAGATCTGGAAACAGACTGACTTCCACCACTCCAGGTAAGGAATCTTCTTCTGGGCCCTCCTCTGTTCTTTTTTAGTTCTTGGATTGTGCTCTCTGAACAGAACCACCAGATCTTCCGCCTTTTGACAAAGGGAAAGATTGTAGATATGCCTTCTGTGCCTCTGGGCTACAAAGGTGTTTGAGTAGGTCGTACCTGACTAGAGCAATGAACAAAGCCATACTTCCCTGGCCTGCTCTTTTTTTCTCTGATCTTATTGAATGACATCATGTCACACAGAAGAATGCTTTTTTTCCTTCTCATTCCCCCAAACTTATGACACTCCCATGGAAACTATACTTGCAAAACAAGTGCACAGATGCAGACACAGTTTCAATCATGAGACTTCATGAAAAATGAAGTACTGAAGCTGGATGGAATACATAGCCACATTCCTTCCCATCTCCAGCTGTCACATGTTGAATCTCAGCTCCTGGATAAGGGTTTACAACATTGAACTTCAGCTTGGACTAGCATGGTAGCATCCTCCTAATCTTTCCTGGGTTACTGCCACATCCAGAAGTTCATAATGCCAATGGCTTTTGTGTGTAATAACAGTATTAGGCTATACTTTGTGAAAAAGATGCTTTGGCTTTCCAGTCTGAGGTTGCCTGTGAATTGAATAATGCTGAGTAATGACCAATACAGTTGAATAATGACTACTGGGGCAGTTACCTACTCTCTCCTTCTCTTGTCGAATCAGGGGGTTCAGCCTCTGGGAGCAGATCTGGACCAGACCCTGTTTTTTCTCCTCTTGGAAATAGCAGCAAAGAAAAGTGAATATGCATAATTGTGGAGTAAAAGCCAAGCCTGTTCACCTGCCCTTATGGATCACTGCATCCACTGAGAGTTGAGGAAAGACAAGTATGAATAAGGCTGATGAATGTAATTGTCACCACCCTTCCTTGGGCTCTGTATGCCCAATCTCTGCAGTCAGTTTTCCACATGCATCTCTTGTTCCTCAGTGAGAAGTTTCTATATGCTCTAACAGGCCCCCATTAGTGGCAGAATACAAGAATCACTTTCTGGCTAAATGCACAGCTCCTACTAGGGTCAGATCATCCTTGTGGCCTTCAACATGTTCAGGAGTGCTTGATTTCAGACTTATGCATAATCGCGTGTACCTGTGTAATTCTGCCTTGTTTCTTGAACATGCATGACTGGTGGGGGTTTTGTTTTGTTCCAGCCTATTTTGACAGAAGCTTGTACTTTCCCTTTCCTTAAGACAAATTTTCGTAAATAATTTGATGAGAACAAAGTCCTAGGTTGTCAGAGGCCATGGATAAGCTGGTAGAAATGGAGATTAATGATAGTTTATTGCTTTCACAGCAATAAACTGGTAAGAGCAGAGCAAGCAGCAGTTAACGTATTTTTTGCAAATAGTATATTGGAGTCTCTTTGACTTGGATATCATAATTCTTATGAGCAATTGCAGCAGTCACTGGTGGTAGTCCTGGTTTCACCTGAGGTTTCAACCATTTTTTTCTTCCCCTTGATCTTTCAGATGTGTTGTTGGAAATGGCAAAGAAACAGAGTCCAGTGGGCAGCACTTCCAGCAAGACTTCCACCTTGCTTCTGGACAGCCAAACATATTCTTTTGTCATTTGGTAGTTGTTTCAGCAGTAACAGAAGATGTACTGAGGAGCTGGCCCTTGAGCTGGTACGCCAGGTGGGAGACATGCTGTCAAGGTGGTAGGATGCAACTCCATGGATTAGAGCTTCCTTCAGGAAAGGGTTGCAGAAAAGATGGGTGTCATGCATCCTAGCAGTTGCTAGCAACAGTAAAGTATTACCAGTGGTCCACAGCAGCCAAAAATGATAATGCAACACCCTTGTTGATGTAGTACTGGGAGAAGAGAATGAAGAAGAAAATGGAGAAAAAAAGAAAAAAAAAAAGGCGGGGGGGATAAAAAGGGCATCTCATTGATCCTGACAGTTTTGAAAATGTGTGTTGGCACTTGTTGTGGTTTCTTATATTATCATCTGCAAGTAGTAGTTTGAGTCTTCTGAATAGTGGACGCTCCCTCCTAAGCAACTGACTTTTTACCCACAAACCAGATGCAAGACAGTAACCTCTGATCCCCAGCGCTTCATTATCAAATACCTCAGCTTCCTTCTTCAGCATCTTTCTCAAACTGATAATCTTCCTTACCGCTGAGGGGGAGAACTCAACACAAACTTCCCACCCTGAAGGTCTCTGCAGTTTCCTGCATTTCCAGCATAACTGTCTGCCAGGAGTAATTGTTCTTCTGGATGCTGACATCAAGTAAAATGGGTTTCTGTGCATCTGCAGCTGTGTCATTAGAAAAGAGCTAGTAAAGGAGCTGTATGTGCTACATTTCTAACTGTCCTTGTAGATTCATATTGTGTGTTGTTAGGTACTTGGAAATGCAGCTGCATTCTGATATTTAGGACTAAGAGTCAAAGAAGTGAATGCAGCCTGGGAACCCATCAGCGTAAAGAAGCAAATGTTCTCCTAGAAGTGCAGTGCTTTCTTGTTTAAGTGGTCATAGTTCACGAGCAGAGCTCATAAGGGAGTTGCACACCCCTGTGCAGCAGAGTTGTTTTCCCAATGCACTTAAGGTAAAGCTGCAGTAGATAAGGTGCGGTGCAGTATATAATACCAGATAACACATTCATGACACATGATGGCATAAAATCTGTTCTCCGTCTAAATATAATTGCATGCCTGAGCCAGAAGGTTTCCTAATTGGCAGGTGAGTTGGGACTGCACGCAATGCGTATTAATCATTATGAACATACAGCCTGAATTTTCGTGCAACTTGGCTTGAAGTGATTTGGGGCGTGGATTACCTCTCACTGTAGGATACTGTCGCAGTTAGGAAGCTGGATGTAAATTCTTCTGGTTAAACAACTGAAGGTGGGGTGTTTTCAAGTAAGTGCTTGCTCTGCTTTTTTCTGTAATCCTGTCTGAATTATTTAGCCTTCCTCTGGATCTGTGCAAATTTCTAGAGGTAGGTTTTGTGAGGCATGGCTTCCTTTTACAAAAGCCATGGTAACTCTTCCAGTACATCGCATCTGAATATCCACTCATTCTGTTCTGAGCGTTTCTACCAGTATGCTCATACAGACATCTGACTTAACCAGCATGTTGCTTCCTGTATATTTCCTGGGGCCTTCTTTAAACATTTACCATCTTCCAATCCCTGGGTATCAGGGCAGGTTTTAAGCAAGATACTAAAGTTACTAGTTCAGCTTTTTCATCTTCCACTGTTCAGGAATTTTGGGTGCAATCCACCTTGCTGTTTGTATTTCAAGTACTGGTATTAAGTATTTATGGGACAATCTGAAACAGATTCTGGGTACATAATGAATGTTTTTGGTGTGGGAATCTCTATGGTTTTTTTTATGCTGAATGTAGAAGAGAAATAATCTTGTGTGTTTTACCGTGCTGCTTTTGTATTCTGATCGTCACTTGGCCCTGCAGCATGGTTGACATTTTGTGCTCCTCTCGTGTAACGAATTTTTTTTATCAGTTCTGCTATACTTTCGTTAAATATTAATAAAATTATTCTGGCCTGCCCTTTTGTTTTTTCTGTAACTTCATTCTTACCGTTTTCTTGACTTGGATGTGGCTTTGCTTTCCTGAAGGATGTTTACTCCATAGTGTCCATTCCCCTAACCTGTAGTCCTGCCAGTTTCCTTTCACTCTTCTGTGATCTTTTGCTGTTAGGTAATGTTTACTCTGTGCTGCTTGTATGTTGTCTTGAAGTGGTCTCCATGCTACCAGCTAGGATTAAATTTGCTTGGCTGCCTCTTACTACTGTTTAATCAAGCTTCCTTATTTGTGTAATTCCCCTTACTACAGCTGAATGCAACTGTGCGGTTTTTTTGTTGTTCCTATAAAGACGGTGAGCATTGCAGTCCTTGTTAAGGAGCAGATCACTGAATGTAGTATTTTGAACAGTGTCCCATGCACTGCTCAGGACCAAATCAAGGAGTGTGTCTCCTTTCACCTACTTCCTAAGCAGCCGTTCCATTGATTTGTTAACTGTGTTGGCTTTTTCCACATAAGGTTGTTTTTTTTTAACCAACCAACCTATCTAACCATAGGATAGAACACCATGGTTTTAAATGAAAATCTGGGAAAGCTGCCTTTGCAGTGGCTCCTACAAGCAAACATGAACTGGTTATGCCTCTTTTGGGGGTTTACAGCTACTTGATAGTGCAAAAGTTTTTTCAGGACACATCTAAATCCCATATATGAAGCATTACTTACATGTTGAAGATCTTCTTAATAAAGAAGTAAACAATAAATGCAAGTCTAATATTTTTCCCTTTGGGTTGCCTTTAAAAGAAAGGGGGGATGGGACTTTTTTCCCCTGAGGTATTGTTTGTGTAAGCAGGTAGTTGATACATTCCACAGATCTAACGAGAGATGATTGTTCTGTTCCATTGGCTAATTACAGAGGGAGCTCTTATCTGGTACTAACAAAAGTACAGCATGTGTATGCATATGTATTGTTTTGATTTCTTTTCTGTTTCTTTTCTTTTTTCCTTATCAGCCCACTTGCATGGAGCTGCCAGAGGAGCTCCGTCAGCTGGCAGACATCCAGAAGCTGCGAAGGGACAAAGCAATAAAAGACTACAAAATGAATGAGGATGGTCTTTTGATCAGACCAGCCATGGAATTAAAAGAGAGAAACGATCCTCAGAAGGATGGAAACTACAGAGACGACGATTGCTTTCCCAAAAGTAAAGTGGTGTCTCAAATCACATCATGCTACAATCAGGATGTACTTTGTCAAGAAAAGCTTGAAAATCAAAATCAAGTGGTAAATCTGTGGAAGAACCTTAAACTGACCTCAAGCTAGCTGTACGAATCTAATTTCTGATACAGGTGACTTGATGAGCTTAGACTGGGTATTTGAAGACATCCAAATGAAAAAAGGGGCTATTCCCCATGCAGAAGTGTCAAACAAAAGCTCCTTTCTTTACAATGACAGGTAAACCCATTGTTGAATGGAAATAATGATGGTCTTTCGTACAAAGGAAATTCCTTCTGTGTCTGACTGTTCTTCTTCAGGTCTACTTTTGAGATTCATTTTTTTCCAAGAGCTATTTTTGATTTTAAAAGTGACTTCTGTTTTTCTTGCATTGTTATCAGACCAGTGTCTTAAACTGTATTGGTTCTTTTGTTACCTGTTGCAAGTATGTAAAACTCTCATTCAATCCAGATGTGTGAACAGGGGAACTTCTAAGATGCCTGTTCATTGAGATTAGAAAGGGTTTGCTTGGAAAAATTAAGAAAACCTCCTGGCCAGCCCATGTGGGCTTGGTTTATATACAGATAAGTCTCTTGGCATAGCTATACAACAGCCTTTCATAGGAGAGTGGAAAAGATCACACCCTAATGAACCACTATGCTGGCAAAAACAGCAAAGAGGTGTACTAAGAGAAAGGGCTTTTCTGCCCAGTCGAAGTTATTTTAGGCTAACTGAGAAAAGAAGCTT